GCATGTGAGTGCGGCAAGGATAATAATATGAATTTACTTATATTTCCAAACATTTTATTGCCTGTTGCGGTTTTCACTCCGTAAGCAATTATCCAAAATTCTTCAGAGTCGGATGGAATGGTTCTGAGAAAAGTTATTCCATGGGAAAGTTAAAAGATTTAAATATTCAGTCTCCGCTGCTTTTCTTTCCTTCAAAGTCAAATAGTGAATTGCCAGGTCCCTCTTGACTCGCCCTCTTGTGATTCACACACTTTTCTGGTGATAAAATCAAAGCTTTTTTAAAAGTATTTAATTGACTAGGTAATCGTTTCAAAAGTTCTTGGATTAGGGTGATTAAACATTTTTGACAGTTTTTTAATATGCTTCTTAAGTCAAGTTTATCACGCAGTTCATTAGCCTTTTCTGTAAAATTATCGTGGAAAACTAAGTTTTTTATATTTTTATAATTGCAAAAAAATTATTTGAAGGCGAAAAATCGCCAAAAATAGGCAATGGCGATTTCCTAATTTTTTACGCGCAAATATCCAAAAAAAAAATCGCAAAATTGGTGCGAAATCGCAAATCTGGACACTCTGGCTCACATATGGGCATTCCCATCATGAACGAAAGATGGTTCATGCATTCCCATGGTGGCGCACGTGACAGTCGTACGATTTCAATGTGATACAAAAAAGGAATACCATTTGTTTTCTTTAACCTTTTTGGGCCATTGTATAGCATATAATTAGCTCTATATTTAACCGAAAAATGAAATCAATCTAACTGCTTGGTCCTGAAATATAAGCATTTAAAGAGGGTGTCGTTACGTGACAAAAAATGGAAGTTGATTTTTTCTTTTCTTAGAAAATCGCAAAACTCTGCGAATTGTGGATGGCTATTTTCATGAAACTTATTTTAATATGATTTGGAGCAATTCTAGTTGTTTTTAGAGTTTTTTGAATTAATGCAAATTGTTTCAATTCTCCTTTCTGCGTAGGCGGCGTCGGTCGCACTTAGGGTTCGTAATCTTTTTTTTTATTATTATTTTACATTAATTCAATTTTTGTAAGAACTATACAACATATATATAAAGTACGTATAGCAAATAAAAGGGAATCAAATTTGAGAGAAATTTTCAAAATCCATTCATTCGTTTTTGAGAAATCTTGATTTCAAAAATTGCTTATTTTGAACTTTAACCTTTGATAATTCTTGTTGTTGTTGTTTGCCCAAAAAAAGAAATATACCGTTATACTCAGCTCAATCATCTCTATCGATTCCAATATTTTTTTTTTAACTTGAGATTTGGAGCCCAACTGCATTTATGCCAAGCGATTTTCAATAAATTTTAAGCGAAGCGCACATTGGCGCGATTCTGTCGTTGCGAATCCGCAAGCCCAAAAATTACAACAATGCTACCCATACATTTTAAAGCGAAGCGCACATTGGCCCGATTCTGTCGTTGCGAATCCGCAAGCCCAAAAATTACAACAATGCTACCCATACATTTTAATGCGCTAGCGCACACTTGCACGATTCCGTCGCTGCGAATTTTTCGAACATTCAATGTTCCTCTCTATTGACGCGTTCGAAACGCGGCTTGCAGCGTTTTGAAGGCGTCAAAGAAGGAGAAGAAAGGTGTCACAGCAATAAAGGCAAAGAAAAAAAAACGTGTAATGTACAAAAACTAATAAAAACGTTCGTAATAATAGTATTTTGTACGATTTGGGCACGCCGAGTGCGAAAATACACGAAATAAAGGGAAAACTGAGTGAATTGTACATCGGAAATCGACGCGAAAAAATCGCTCAAGTGTGCGCACGTTTGCGGATTCGAAGTTAACAGCCGAATTCGCAACGTATTCGCAACGACAGAATCGCGCTAATGTGCGCTTCGCTTAATGCGCTAGCGCACACTTGCACGATTCCGTCGCTGCGAATTTTTCGAACATTCAATGTTCTGCTGCAACCGCTGCAAGCCGCGTTTTGAAGGCGTCAAAGAAGAAGAAGAAAGGTGTCACAGCAATAAAGGCAAAGAAAAAAAAACGTGTAATGTACAAAAACTAATAAAAACGTTCGTAATAATAGTATTTTGTAAGATTTGGGCACGCCGAGTGCGAAAATACACGAAATAAAGGGAAAATTTAGTGAATTGTACATCGGAAATCGACGCGAAAAAATCGCTCAAGTGTGCGCACGTTTGCGGATTCGAAGTTAACAGCCGAATTCGAAACGTATTCGCAACGACAGAATCGCGCCAATGTGCGCTTCGCTTTATGTGCAAATGTAATTAAAATGAAGTGCGCGGTGATTGGTTGCAAAAACACGTACAAAAATAATAATTGGTTAGCACAAACATGAGCTACAAAATTGTTTGCAGGTTTTTTCTTTATGCTTCGTCTTCATATTCTTTGTTTACTTTTCAAAGAAAATAACATGGCGCCGAAATTACAAACGTCAGCCAGAAAATTACTTTTTTCTTTCGGTTCATTTTGTCAGATCTTGTGTAGTTGGATCATGGGGTTATACCCCACAGTACCGTTCCGCGCCTGTTGGCGCAAACCTTAAAGGGGGCCTCAAACAGGTGCCATATTACCGTTGCGATAAACAACAATCCGGACCGGATCCGGTAATTAGAGAATAAGCGAAAAATTTGCTCTCAAAAGTGGAACATAGTCCAGAAGTACGGGAACGCAAAAAACCACATTTCGTGCCAAGAATTTGAGAAACATCTGATTCACGTTGTTTTTGTTTTTGTCACTTCAATGCAAAAACTTGGAAATTGAATTTTTATTTCACAGATTTGATTTTATACTATGTCTCCACTGAGAGATTTAACCGTTAAGATTTAATAAATCCTGTTGCTAAATCACAACCGTCTCCATTGACACAACGAGATATGTTTGACGTTCACGTTTTTAAATATTTGACGTTTGCTTTCGTATGATTTTATAAATACAGTTGCGGACATGGAAATTCAGACAGATAAAAGGAAGGTACCAGGAGCGGAATTTCATTATGTGAATTCTTAATATTATTGGATTCTTATTCGTGGTAAATATGTATAATATATAGTTTGCGAAATGTAACGAATAGTACGGTATTCCGAATCATTTTCCGTACTTTAAGAAATTTTTTTAAAGAGTTGTTGAGGAAATAAACTCTCTTCTTCATGAGAGGGAACCGAAAATCCAATCTTTGGCCATTGGCATATCACGAAGACCTAGCTAGCAAATATGACTGGCAATGCATTTCTAGAGTCGAATTGAGTTCTAGAGGATATTTGGTGTAATGTTATCGAATCAGAACCATTACCGAATTTTATAAATTTTATGTCGTGCGTAAAAGATTTATAGAAATCATGATATTATCATAAAATATATATTCTGAATTTGTAGTTTTTGAAATAATATATTCTTAATTTATTACAACCACAGTTATTTGCCTTTAAAACCAACTAAAATATAAAAACACGCTTAAATATATGAAAATTCATGTTTTTTAATAGGCTAGATTTCAATGTCCGCAACTGTATACTGAAAATAAAAATATCATTTGACTTAAAGTGTGTTTGCATTGTTCAACTTTGCATTCAACATTTGCGTTCAACTCAGCGCAGGGTTGCACGAAAAAAAAGTTGAAGGGCTAAAAAGATCAAGACATGAAAAAATATCAAAATATTCGCCATAAAAAGGTGTTTTCATTGTTCAACTTTGCATTCAACTTATGGTTGAACGGAATTTCAACTAATCGCTTTCAACAAAGTTGGTCGCCAGCCAACTTTTGCCATTCAACTTTTTTTTCGTGCAACCCTGCGTTGAGTAGTTAACTTAAATCTACTGTCTTTCGGGATTTAAATTCATAAGGCCCGTTTACATACAACTTTGGCGTTGCGTTGGCGTTGGCGTTGGTTTGACAGAACGCACGTTAAAAGTATGCTTGCTACAATGAACGCTTGGCGGCGAATCCTTGGGCCACTAAATTAACATATTAACGACAGATAAATTAATATTTCATATCAATAATTGCATTAAAAACGATATTTCTTGCCCGCACTTGATTAAAAAGGAAAAATATTTCACATAATTTTATTTATTCGCAACAGCTGACGAGCGACGCACGCGAAAAGTTGAGAGTTGGCCATCTTTTTGCTTTGTGTTGGCGTGAGCGTTGTCGAATTTTGGCTATGTGGACGGCTGCATTTGAATTCATGTATTCATAGTCAGCTGTTGAAGCGACGCCAACGCCAACGCAACGCCAAAGTTCTATGTAAACGGGCCTATATGGTAAATCCCAAAAGATTTAACGTTAAATCTCCTCAGAGGGCTAAATATTCAATAAATCTCACAGTGGAGACATAGTATTAAGTATATAAAAACTGAAAATACATCAGCAGGCCATTAACTATTCCTTAAAAGTAAGAATGATAGAATACAAGATTGCGACATTTGTGTACCACAAGTAAACAAAGAATAGAGCGAAAAGAAGAACGAGTTGAAACTGCCAAAATAGTTCACTTTACAGCGAAAAACGTGTTTTAATTTTGCTAAACGCGAAAATATTGCATTTTTCACCTAATCTATTTGAGGGTAGTGAACGTTTTAGTACATTCCATTGCTTTGCAATTAAGGCTGCTGCAGAAAACTGCAGCAGCATCTCCGCGGGATGGATTAGTTAACTTGCTAATGGAGGCTGCGTGGAGCAGAAACAAAATCATTGTGAGGAAATGCTGTTAATATAATAATAGAGAAACATTTCGGGAACGGCATTGCCGTGCCCTATGTACACAAAATGCAGCGATTCGTCCCAGCGCTACACTTGCACCTACGCTTCTTGCATCTTGGCGGCTGTCGCAATTTAAAACACAGCACTTCATTGTCTATTTGGAACGAACTGTGAACACCCCAAATATAACAATTTCTACGATTTTTGATGCCATATGGCATCTCTAAGCAAGAAAAAAACATTTTGGTCTTTTGACACTTTTTTAACACGACACACGTCGGCAACGCAGTACAAATATAACGTTATAAGCTGATTGCTGACGGTGACTAATGAAAAAGCGATATAAAAAGTGTAGGTGAAGATTAAAAAGTTATAAATTGTATTAAAAATATAAAAAATAACGCGTTTAATTCACAACGAAAATATTCAGTGCTATAATTATACTGAAGTTGATGACTCTTGTGGTTGTTTTTAAATAGTGCATCAAATCCAAGTAACCCAACCCAAATCAAAGAGGTCAGCAGGGAAAAAGAAGAAAGAAAGCAGCTTCGCCAACGTCAACGACGAGTAGTTCAAGAAGAAAAATCGAAAGGAGTGCTAAAAACAGGATTAAAAGCAAGGACTCATCGGCGATACTCCTGTAAGCAAAAACAGAAACAGTAGCAGACGACGTAAACTAATCAAGTAAATATCATCACAATTAAAACTAATTACCCTTAAACATGTCATCCGGCGAATTTGGCAATCCCCTGCGCAAGTTTAAGCTGGTGTTTCTCGGCGAACAGAGTGTCGGAAAGACTTCGCTGATCACACGCTTCATGTACGATAGCTTTGACAACACGTATCAGGCGACAATTGGTATCGATTTTCTTTCGAAAACCATGTACCTTGAAGATCGCACCGTTCGCCTACAGCTATGGGATACAGCCGGCCAGGAACGTTTTCGTTCACTGATCCCATCCTACATACGTGATTCCACTGTGGCGGTCGTTGTCTACGATATAACAAATACAAACTCTTTCCATCAAACATCCAAATGGATTGATGATGTGCGCACGGAACGTGGCAGTGACGTCATCATTATGTTAGTTGGTAATAAAACCGATTTATCAGATAAACGACAGGTTTCCACAGAGGAGGGCGAACGAAAGGCGAAGGAACTGAATGTGATGTTTATCGAAACAAGCGCGAAGGCCGGATATAATGTGAAGCAACTGTTTAGACGCGTTGCGGCAGCGCTGCCTGGAATGGATTCGACTGATAATAAACCCTCGGAAGATATGCAAGAGGTTGTGCTGAAGGATTCACCTAACGAATCAAAAGATCCGGAGGGTGGATGTGCCTGCTGAAGATTCAATGAATGTAGTGAACAATCTAATTAATTAATAATATTATAATTGAAGTAGGGGCGATCGCTTAATGATAACTTAACAGTATGATGACGACGTAGACAAGTATAAGAAAGCCTAAGAAGAGGACCACAATTTTATGTTTAAGTTTATTTATAACGTAAATAAAACTAAAACTTATTAACTGAAAAATTAAATGATCGTAACGATAAAGGTAGGCGCATACAAGCATTTAATACGAAGAAACGATTTCTTCAAAAATCCGTACTGAATGAGTTTAGAGTTGAAATATTTACAATGAAACCAGAGTTGAAAATATCTGATTACGCTATACAATTACAAAGCTTGATGGTTGGTAGTTGGTGGTATTGACAAGCAGCTGTTGTGTAGTAAATTGAAAAATCATACGCATAGTTAAGAAAGTTTTTTTTTTTATTTAATAATAACTGCCTACATTGTGCACATTACATTTGCATGCAGTAGTTGCGTTCCCTAACTCGCAAGAAGTTGCAAGAATTTACAGGAATTTGCCAGAAAGCGGTCCCGTACTCGGTTCTCTGGCTTTTTTAGCCTTTTGACAGTTTTACAGCTTTTAACCCAGAAAATTTGGGGAACGCAACTAGTATTGCTTTGAGATTTCCAACAGTCGTTTTGATTGAAGATCTATTGCATAAATTTAGGTGCATGAATGTCGTTATCGCCTATTTTATTTACTAACCGAAGCTTCTTGGATCTATAAATGTACTTATAAAGCTAGATAAAATCGTTATTTACTGAAATTCAGTAGTAACTGTAACAGAGTGAATAAAATATTGAACAAGTGTGCACAAAAGTAACTCAAAGACAGCTATTTATTAAATTGATCCAACTTGACTTAGCTAAATTTCTTAAAGCGAAATTATTTTATACTAATATATATTTTGATTGAAGGGAGCTCTCATATTTACCAAACATTCCCTTTTCCTGTTTTATCATGGTTGAACGTTTTTCTGTAACTTGGTGTGTTTTTAACAAACTTTGGTATAGATAACGTTTAATTTATTTTCAGTCCATAGTAAACATTACAGCGTTCTTATCAGAAATTTGTTTCCTATTTTTCGAGTATTTCTGTGAAGGTATTAAAAAATTCCATATTCTTATGCAATATAAGCGCAAGCGATCATCTATAAAAAATATACATACATGGGTGTTATTTCTACTTTACATTTTGCAAATCTGTAGAAATCTATTTTGAGTACCATTTTTTTAAGTCGTTAACTTTACCTGTTACTGGCTATGTTGATGAATTAATTTTTATTACTAATTTGTACATATATGTATGTATACAATTTTGAACCGCGCTGCTGTTGTAGCTCTGCAAAGTAAATTTAATTAAAGCGTATTGTAACCGGCTACCACTATGTGCTCAAGCTTATGAAGTTGAATATAATGCATCGCTTAAGAGAATACGAGTAGTTAATTACAATCGAGGCAGTAACTAGTATATCATTTTAAATACATAATTACATTACATTTCAGCGAAGAAAATAAAAAATAATTATAAAAAATTTAAAGTAGATACAAATTTATTGGTGGCATCTTATGAAAGATATGCAAAGCGCATTTAATAAAAAAATAAAAATAAAATGATTTGCTTCGTATTAGTGGCCACCAAAACCAATTTTATAACGCAGCTTACAAAATACATGCATATGTACATATGTGCACGTAATGAAATAGATGCATACATACATACGTACATATTGCGATAAATGTAGTAAAACGCATGAATGAAACTTTAAGCAACTACAATATGTATTCGTAAAGCAGTATGTACATATATGAAGAAAAATTAAAACATTTTAAGCAAATTTAAAATTAAGTTATAGCATTTGAATGATCAGTGGGAAATTGCACTTGCTACGTGAACATATTTTTAAAGGAACAACATATTTGCAATAAAGTTTTTTGAAATAACCTATAATGAAGTATTATAAGTTTTCTAGTTATAATATATGTATGTATTTATATAAGATGTATGTACACACATCGTTTTTAACAAAACAACTTTGCCTTTCTGTACCTTTGTGGTCCAAATACTTTCATCATTGTTACAATTGTCATGCAACGATTCCAAGAGCTTCTGCACATCCAATCTTGAACATTTTTTTTTTTTTGGGCGAATACTCTCTGTTTTAATGTCGAATTTTGCTAGAAGGTATCGTCAGTGTGTTGCAATACTTCCAACCATGTTTTTGTCAATAAAATATTTCCTTGTCTAATGGATGGGTATTATATCGTATAAAACAACGCTCTTTACAATTATTTGCTTTTTTGCAAATGTTACACTTATCAGTTTTTTGTCACTTCTATGATTGGCCGTTGGTGATTTTAAAGGAGATACAGTAACGCAACTATGATTGGACGGCAAATGTGCGAAGCGCCTTATGGACGTGGATCGTTCAATGTCGAATAGAAATCAAGCAATTCAGCGATTTACATAAAGATGTTGTTTTATCAAAAAATTTTAGGTATAAACATAAGTATGTTTTAAAGAGATTTATTAGGGACACTCATACGAGAAAAAGAAAAAAAAAATGTTTTCCACTTGTTTTCGAAATAATACCATAATAACGATTTTACAATTTTTATGAATAAATCTCGATGCCTGGGTTACCAAATCTCTTTTTTGCCACAACGGCGATTTGGGCGGTTTTGCAAAGGCGTCGACGATATGATTGTAGTTGCCACACCTTAGGATTTCATACTTGCATATCGTTACCTTAATATAACTAAGCCCTATCTGACATCTCCACTGAAATACAAAAAGCCGTAACTATATGAATAACATAAAAATGTAGTACATACTTGTAAAACGCTATTAACACTCCTAAAAAGTACAATATTAATCAAAATCAGTAGGAAGTTCAGTAAGTTAAAGTAAAATGCCGCTACTTGAGGCAAATTTTTCCTTAAGGATTTTTTTTTAATTCTTCAAAGGCTGTTTTAAAGCTTAAACAGACGGCAGCGTTGATCCGGATCAACTCGTTAATTCGGAATTAACTGCAGTTGATCCGGATTAAATCCGAGTTAGTCCGGATCAACGCTGCCGTCTGTTTAAGCTTTTAGCCAGTTAAATTTCGCAGTGAAAACAATCCGAATAAAATTAGTTTAAAAAACTAAAACCTCGCTATTATAATTTCCATTCGTACTGACATCAGGTATGTAACTTGAGAACAGAAATCGCTGCATCTTTTAGGCGCATCAATATTACATAGTTACATCCCGAGCTAATAAAAGGGTGGTAATAATAATAAAAATACATGAGGCCGAAGCATGTCGATAGTGCAAGTTTGTAGCAACATAAGGTTGCCGGGGTTTTCAGCCATGCAAACACGAGTCTATTGAATAGAATATTCTGAACCAAAAAAATGTTGATGCAATTATTTTAACTAATAAACCTTTTTCACCGATCATTAGATCGAAAACGAATGCACGAAGCAGAAAATGAAATATTTCGGAAACCTTAACATGTTGCTTCCCGCAATAATAGCAACGTGTTTTTCACAAACTAGCAACATAAGTGTTGACTGCAACATGTTTCACAAACTAGCAACATAAATGTTGACAGCAACATGTCTCCTTCCACATTGAGATCAACATGTCGCGTGCACCTGCTGTAACTTTGTGTGTGGCTGGTGCAAATTGACGATGTGCAAGCGCTTTCATTTCGATAGCTTCGAGGCTCGGTTTTCTTAAATTGCATCCTAATCGAACCCTTTTATAAATTAATGAATAAACCAAACCTTATTTTTATGGATATTTATTGAGTTCTCAGAAAACATCACTATTTATATTTAAGCATTAGGCGTACTTTAAAAGCATTACAAATCGAAAAAAAAAATAATAAATTACCGCAACTCCTACCTTCTACCCTCCATTCTCAAGCCATGCCATAACTTTCAAATCTAGAAGCTATCTTCGTTTGTTATGAACTCATCGCGTACCTTGCTTAACTTAGTTATCAAATCGGCAATTGAGACTTCACCATGTACTTTG